CAAGACAAAAATAAAGATTAATAGAGGAATATTAATAGAGGAATTCCAATATTATATTGACAAATAACAATCCTCTTATACTCAGACAAAATCTAAAAATAAATGTAATTAGATCTGCTTTATCTGCCAAGCTTGAGCCACTCTCCCATTGTTATAAGGTTGCATTTCTTTCTTTTTTCTACCAATACATTTATGGTCAATCCTCAAACAAGATATCATCTTTATTACGATAAACCATAACTCATTCTCGCTTGGCTTCTTACTCAACAAGTTGCATCCTTTAACTATATCTGTCCCTTCATGTTGAAAATACTTTTATTAATCCAGTTTTTTTCCTTACACATCAAAAAAACCTTATAACTCTTAACTATCTTCATGTTTTCCTTTTTTATACAACTTACAACTTTTTAAGTCTTCAGTTATTTCCTAGTATTTTAACTGATTCTGTACTTTAAAGTAACTTATTACTTAATAGTGAAATCTTGTTGGAAGTAAATTAGAGCTTAAAAAAAAATAATATTATGCCAGCATTTAATAAATAGTAAATGTAAGCATAAAATTATTATATATTGTATTATAAATTTTTTTTAGCCTCGGCTATCAACCTCTGATAAATTTTATAATTTTGCAAGGTTTTGCAAAAAAGGTCTCATTTTTAGCCGGGGCTAGGGCCCGGTCACTTACTAGTTGAAATCAGTGGGCATAGGAAGGATGTTTTGGGTTTAATACATGTGTAAATAGTGTACAAAAGACATAAAAATGTTTTGTAAATTCTTAAATAGTCATAGTAGTGTTATAATTTTTGTTTTTGCTTTAATGTGCTATTTTGTGCGTTACCACGGTTAGATGGTTTGGATTTATGACCAAATCATAATTTGATATTTATTAGAAAAAGTTTAACAATTGTCCTTTTAGATGTTATAAAAATCAGGAAACTAACTTTCGGTTATTCCATCTTGTCGTTAATTGTAGGCTACTTCAGTTATTCTATCTGTTGCTTATAGGTTATGTCACTTATAGGTTTACTATTCTAGGTTAAGGAAATCATCTTACTATTACCTCAAAAATGATGTTTTATATCAAAGTTTTTTTCTTTTAAGTAACCACTAATAAGGAATTTTGTCTATTGCCTAAGTGACGTATATTTCAATTACTTTAGTTGTACTTACGAATTCGCCCTGTTGGAAAATTCACCCCTCATGACTTGATGATGAAAAAATCAAGTTCTATGCAAAAGTAACTTAATAATTTGTTTTGATTCAACCCATTAACAAAGTAGAGATCCTAGATAATAAAAAAATGTTTTTAAACTAGAAATGTTTACTTATTTATATGCAAATTCATTTTGAACTTTACTCAATAAACATATTTACATTGTTAAAAGTTTAAATCTGTCAGTTGCGTATTTTTAAGTACCACATTGTAAATAAATTTAATTTGAAACCAAATTAAAAATCGTTGTTAGTCTTTATTTTTATAAAATACCTTTAAATTAAACAATATTGTTATAAAAAAATTATAAACAAAATTTAAACATGTTTAAGAAAAAAAAATATATTTTTTTAACATTTTAGTTTTAACAAAGTCTTCCCATACTACTCATAAACTAGTTAATCATTTTGACGTTCATTCTATGATCAGCTCAAAAAATTATTGATAAAAAAAAAAACTTTTGTTAAAAAGCAATTTCAAAACTGAAAAACCATCTTTCATAAATTTAAATAAATTCTAATAGTTTTGCCTACAGGGTTGATTATTGTTTATCCGGCAATGCATTTATATACTGTTATAAGTGCATTAAGCACTTTTGTATATTACCACTTTCATAACAGAATGAAAAGAAGTTATTGATTTGAAATTATAAATAAATAAAATAGCTAAATGTAATATGAACATTTTAAATTAATTTGAATTAAATTTATTAATTTAAATTCCTTTTCTTTAGCATAGTAATTTAAATTAGTAATTTTAGCATTAAAAAAAAATTGTAAAATATATATATATACTAAAAATTTTTAAAAGAATTTAAACTAAATTTATTAAAATAAACTTATATTTATTAATAATAAATGATAAATTTAATTTAATATAATAAAATAAATTTAAAATAAAATAAATTCAAAATAAATTTTTTTTTTAAATGGAAAATAGAAAAAAAGTTTATTTAACTACCTGTTTTTTATCTAATAAAAAAAAATATTTCACTAATGCTTTTTTTTTAACAACAATTAATTACTGCTTGTTGTTTTGTTTTCAACGTAAACTATTTTAAAAAACTAATTAAATGTTAATCTAATTTAAGAAAATTTTGGCATTACATATATGGCTTAACGCTTCTTAACAAGGCCTGATTCATATATGAGATATGTTATTAATTTGCTTAAGCAATTAGTCAAGTCTGCGCGTTAACACACATTAGAGTGACATTTTTTTGTATTGTAGGAAAAAAGATTTTACATTCAAACTTTTATTTTCTTCAAAATATACTTACGAGGTGAGAGTCCTAACTGCGGATAGTCTAGAAAAAAAATTTAATAAAAACCTAATAGAAACCTAATAAAGAAAAAATTAGTCTGTACCTGTTTTTTTCTATAGAAGTTACTACAATAAAAAGTTATAAAGTATTGACCATTAATTTTTAACTCAAAGCCAAGATTGGACTTATTTTATTTTCTAGAAAGTGTTGAAATAAAATGACTATATAAAGAATAAGTACAGAAATAATCGATGTGGAATAGACTTACCATGGTCCGTATTATATGGGTCGTAATAAGTTCATTATTTCACATATTTTTAAGTCTAATTCCAAATGTTATTTAAACTTTTTATTCCAATAGTAATTACTCATCATATTTTAAGCGTTATAAATGTTATTTAGCTTCAGGTGTATCCAAACCACTGAAAACTAGCAGTTTGCACAACAACTACTGATACATTTTAAAAATTTTATAGTTAATTCTATTATATATTATTTTTTTATTCATAACTTTAAAAGGTAGACAATATTTATGGTTTTTGTACTACTTTCTAAAAAATATTGAAGTAAGGAATAAGTATAGAAATGGTCGGTGTAGAATAGACTTACCAAGACTCGTATTTTATGGGTCCAGACAGCTAATATATATATATTAACTTTTCAATCTAATATATATTGAATATATTGAATACATATAATATATTGAATATATATATATGTATATATATTAGAGCTGTGCCCGATTTAATATTTCCAAATCCGGCCGGAGCCAGATTTCTACTGACAGATCCGGCCGAAATTGGAGCCAGATTTCAAAACAAAATTACAGGAGCCAAAATCTTGTACATCCCTACTTGGTGTTGAGAATGGTCAATAATGTGGACTATTCAGAATACCAAATGACAGCTGTTTTCTATTAAACTTCATTGTTGTTATTAAAAAAGTTTTATATCAATTTCTATAGAAATTAATAGACATTCTATAGAAATTCTATAGGCCATATGTTTCAAAAGTTTATAGAAATTCTATTGAACTGTTTTTCCGGGATGTTGTCACTTCGCCACTGTAGTGGGTCAGTGTGTTTATTTATTTCTGGTTCTTCCATATTGGCTTAGCTGAGTGTTAATGTCTTTTAGTAATTGTTGTTCATGTGCTGTGCCACCAGCGGATTAGACTGAATAATTTTATCAATAAATTGCCAGAGAAATGATGACAATGTAAAAAAATTATCCAGACTGGCTTATTTTGCTGGATTTTCTTCAGTTTTGTCAATCTTCTGCTCAGCATACTCAGATTGACTTCAATCTTTCTTTTTCAGCTGTCAGTGTTACCTGTAATGAGGAGAATTTAGTTTTGTGGATCAACCAGTGTCGTCACTATATAAAGAGGTTTCTCTTTTAGGGTTGACATCATAGTCTTTACACCTGCATCCTTGTAGAATATTGTGTGTTTTCCCTTCAGAATGTTTTATTGGATTGTTGTTTGAAATTAGGTTAACCTTATTAAATTGTAAAGAAATATAAATACAGATACCAAAACAAACATGAAGTTCATAAAATATAGAATTTCAAAAAAAATTGATTTGTACAAATAAAATATTAAGTATACATGGGCAAAAAAAAAGTAATAAATATTTGACCAAAATTCAAAACTCTAGCTAAAATTATGCCGGATTTGCTAATTTTTTGCCGAAGCCGGATTTTGGTCGGAGCCGAAATCCGGTACCGTTCTAATATATATTGAATATATATATAATGTATATGTATATATTTGTTTATGTGTATATATATATATATATATATATATATATATATATATATATATATATATATATATATATATATATATATATATATACACACTTACTAAAGCGTGTTTTGATAAGCATTTGCTTACTTTTTCTGCTTACCTTAAGCTATACTGTTTTTTTCGAAAAAGAAGAAGAAAAAACAAAGAATGATGAATAAAACAATTGCTTCCCCATCCCAAACCCTCAGTCGATGTAGCAGCACTCCACTGCGAGTCAGGCTATGTGTCAGTCGATCTTTGTACTGAAGCCTCCAGCAGCAGGCTATTTCAGTATGACGTCAGATTGCTTACCTTAGTACACAATACTGTTTGTGTATATATATATATATATATATATATATATATATATATATATATATATATATATATATATATATATATATATATATATATATATATATATATATATATATATATATAGATATAATAGATATATATATATATATATATATATATATATATATATATATATATATATATATATATATATATATATATATATATATATAGATAGATAGATAGATAGATAGATAGATAGATAGATAGATATAGATATATATATATATACATTTATATATATTACTGTATTCACCTCCCAAGGCTGAGTATGCCACTACAGTATATACTTATATACCACTAAATGTTAAATAAATAAATTTTTTATTTACAGTAATATATTTTTTCAAACATCACAAAACAGCATTTCTTATTTTAGATTTGCATGAAAACATGCATAACTTACAAAAGGAAATATCTTCTCTTAACGAAAGTTTATTCAGTAAAGATGCTATTATACAGACTACTAGTATACAAATGGAAGCATATCAAGCAAGTGCGGAACAAAAAATCCATGAAAAACAAGTTGAGTTAGATATACTAAAAAAAGAAAAAGAAGATTATTTGAAAAAGTTTGAGAAATTAGAGCTTAATTTACAGGTACACTCTATTACAGCTTTAGTTTGTTGTCATGTTTTAATATTTTGATGTGCTTTAATTTTTAGAATATACACTATAATTTTTTATTTTTTTTAAATATATAAAAACGTTCTTTAAAAACTATAAATTTTTTTTTAGGAACATGAAACAAAATTACTAAATCAAGTTACTGAGGTAATCAAGTTTAAAAAATTTTTCTTTATTATTATGTAAAGATATTTTTAATTATAAAAAAAATAATTTACATTATGCTCTTAATGTTTGTGTAATATTGTTTTGTAATTTCTTTTTAAAAAAAGATAGAAATTAAAATAAATGAAAAAATACATAAAACTTGTATAATATATTTCAGCTTAAAAGTGTTCCTGATATGTTTGATAAAATTAACAACCTGCAAGCAATTATTAGTGAACAGGAAAAGAAAATAACTTGTAAAGATGCAGAGTTATTAGAACTAAGGTTTTAACTTTTTTTTTAATTTCCAATATTTCTTTTATTATTTTATTTTAATAAAATCTCAGGAGATCTCAGGAAAAATTGTGATTATCTGGTGATAATTCCAGTCTTCAATTTTTCTCTGTTGATTTTTGTGTTATATATATATATATATATTTGTTTTATTTGTTATATATATATATATATATATATATATATATATATATATATATATATATATATATATATATATATATATATATATATATATATATATATATATATATATATATATATATAGTGAAAACTAAATAATTATTAAGATATATTTCAATTAAAGTTTCATGCAATAGCGATCATCAGATGTTACAACAACAAAAACGTAACGACAAAAATTATATACATAAAATGCTATAGAGTGTCCGCTTTGATGACATTTAAGTTCTTTATTAGAAATTTATTTTCATGGCAGCATTTTGATGCAAGCTCAGTTCATTTGTTAAGCAAATTTAATGGTGATGTAATAATGTGGTATTTTTCTGTCAAGCATAAATTGCAGAATTTACCGCCAGGTTTGGCTCCGCTTGATCGAGAATATTTCATTTTAATATAGGTTCTATATCTTTATTTTTGCATTCCCACATAAATTTCGAAAGTTCAGTGGAGTTGACTTTCATAAACAAAGGAGTTTTTATGTTTATTCCACCTGTCTTTGAAAGTTTTCTTTTCTTTTCCAACGTAATAATATCCTTCTTCTTCTTGGTGAGTTTTTTGCGTTGCAAAAAAAGACAGGTAAATATATATATATATATATATATATATATATATATATATATATATATATATATATATATATATATATATATATATATATATATATTAGGGTTATGACTTTTTATCAACCCCATCTCCTGTACTGTAGTTTGATGAACTTTTACTTAAAAAGCACAAAATGAACTATTATTTGCATATCTTTTCAAAAAAGTTCATCCCACCATTGAAAAATCAATTTTGACATAAGTACTACTATGTATTCAAATGTATTTAGAATGTCATACATTTGAATGTAGTACAATAAATTTTCAATCCAATAATGACTCAGACCATTGACCTTGCTCTTGCTTGTTCCACAGAAGAAATCGAAGGTGCAATTAGTCTTTATTTTTGCATGATGAATAAATTTCCTCCATTACTTTGATTGCATTTCATTGATTACTTCTGGGTATCTGTAGTATGGATGGCTCTTGCTTCTAGTGGTTTTTCAAAGAGCTTAAAGCCTTTTTGTATGGATTCAGTATTTCAGCCAAGTTATTAAAGTCGTTTTCATTGTACAGTTGGTCTGTAAACCAATGGTCTGCCCAGCCATACGATTTAAATCGACATTTTAATTCCTTCAACAAGGACAGCTTTGCTCTCTGCAGAACTGTCCTTGTTGAAGGAATTAAAATGTCATTATGTACTTTGTTCATTAATAAAATTATATACATTTATACTATCTTCCCTCTAATGAATTGACATATTGTTGAGTCTAATTGTTAAATAAATTGTGCTTTTCATCTATTACATAAAAAATAAAACAGTAGCTATATATATATATATATATATATATATATATATATATATATATATATATATATATATATATATATATATATATATATATATATATATATAACCCTCGGAATTAGGGTTGCCAATTGGCAGTGACGACCTAACTGCTGACCTAAAAGTATTTGAGGTCCGTAAAAAATTACCAACCTCGTTTCTATATTTTATGGTAACCTCTTTGTGTCAATTTTTTTTTGCCAACCTAATCTTTGCATAGCAGTCAAAAGAATTTTTTATGGTAAAAAAAGTCTCTTTCAATGCTTTTTTTTTAATATTTATGCAACCATCATCAATTCAGTGATATTTAAATGTCACTTAAACAATTATATTAAGTGCTGCTACATCAACTGACAAATAGGTACACCATGTAATAAATGCTGATACATCGACTGAGAGTTTGATTTGTGCGAGTAAACTATTAATTTGAAAAAAATTTTTTTAAGTTTTTAAACTTTTTCATGTCTAGTTAATGAGCATTCGTTTCAAAACAGTAGTTTATGGAAAAAAAAATTTGACCACCATGCAAGAGTGTGTGTGTGTCTATATTTCTATTTTAAAATGTTTTACTATATATATATATATATATATATATATATATATATATATATATATATATATATATATATATATATATATATATATATATATATATATATATATATATATATATACATATATATATATATATATATATATATATATATATATATATATATATATATATATATATATATATATATATATATATATATATATATATATATATATATATATGTATGTATATATATATATATATATATATATATATATATATATATATATATATATATATGTATATATATGTATATATATGTATATATATGTATATATATGTATATATATATATATACATATATATGTATATATATATATATATACATATATATATATATATATATATATATATATATATATATATATATATATATATATATATATATATATATATATATATATATATATATATATATATATATGTATATATATATATAC